ACTTCGAAATGTTTACCCCACAAGTAGGGTCTCCAGTGCTGTAAAGCTAGTACCACACCGTAACATCTTTCATCGTCGGAGAATATTGACGTTGAGCTTTTTTTATATCGCTGACTGAAATAAGCACTATTATTATTCATGTCGTCACCATTCTTTTGGCCTAAGAACGCTCCGGCACCAACTTCACTGGCATCAACATGTACCACGAAACCTTTCGTAAAGTCAGGGAAACTTATTATAGGGGCTTCGCTGAGTAGACGTTTCGCTTCTGCAAATGCCTGATCATGTTCCTTACTCCAAGGTTTTGCGATCGATTTGGCATGCTCATTTTGTGTGAGTTCGACCAGCGGTGCGGTAACCGTAGAAAGGTCGGGCATAAATTTCCTCACATAATTCACCGTGGCCCAATACTGAACAAAGTTCCTTAATTGTTTTCGGTGTTGGCAAGTCGATAATGGCTTTAATACGGTCTTCTCCAATGCGAATCCCTTTAGCCGACAGAATGTGACCTAAGTATTTGACTTCCTTTGGTCCAAACTGTACTTTCGAGGGTTTCAAGGTAAGACCGGCCGCTTGGAGTGCTTGGAGCATACTTTCTAACAAAGTTAGATGACTCTCCCAATTTGAGCTGCAGCAGAAAATGTCGTCCATATACACCAAAAGTCCACTGCATGGTCCAAGTGAGCAAATGCCAGAGACATCATACGAGCAAATAGAAAAGTACCATTCATTCGCAGTTCCGAAGGGAAGGCGTTTGAATACCCATTTCCCTTTGTGTGTCACAAACGTTGTTGTCTTCTCTTGTTCTGCTTCGTCCACTTCAATTTGGTGGTAGGTGTTGGGATTTGTATGCAAGAACTGACTCTATTCTACTGCATGGGTTTTGTGCAGTATTGTGAAGGCGTGTCTCCAAGTCTGTAACCGTCAGGTGAAGACAGCTTGGGCGCCTGTGTTTTGGATCTAATGATCACTCTGTGTTGTATCTACCCAAACTGCGCCACCACTGCCAACTACACAACAAACAGCAACTACAATTCTGTTGTCA